CACCTGCACATTTATACTTGATTAGGCCACTGATCTTTAAACTCAAGTAGATCAGAATTACTCTGGGGAGCTCTTTCAACTCAGATTCCTCGGTCTTGCCATCAGGAATTTTGATTGCTCCCATCTGAAATGGAGTCCAGAAATGTGCATTTAAACACGTTTTGATGGATGTGGGCATCCCTGGACCACATATGTAGTGAGATGATTTTAGAACTGATTTTTTTTTTAGAGCTTATCTACTTGGTCATGTTGAGTTCATGGCTTTATTCTTAGATGTCTACTATATTATTTTATTTATTTTATTTTATATCTTATTGTATTTAAAACATTTTTTTTTTCTCACTTCTTGAATTGTCAAAGATGAAACGAGCCAGACACTGGTTAAAGTGGTAAGGACAGGTTTTAATCAGTAATACATTGTTGCATTAAAGAAAGTCCAGAATGAACTAAGTAAACTTTGATTTATACAGGCTTGGCTGAACATTTTAAAAAGAAAATCAGGGAATAGGGAAGGGAAGCGGTGGAAGGTTAAGCAACGTCAGGGAAGTGAAAAATTACAAAGGGTTGGTCAGTGTAAATGCATTTTAGGCCATCTGTGTTAGCTGGCAATTATGGAAGTTAGGATTCTATCCTTACACAGAGACTTCTAACACAGAGGCCCTGTCCTTCCTGAGGATTACATTTCAAAGGAAAGCTTTCAGGTCCTTGAGAAAGACACTCCTGAGTTGCAGGAAATATATATATATACATATATATATATATATATATATAGTATATATACACCTCAAAGGGACAGAGGGAGGATTCACCATTGTAAATTCATTTTAGGGAATGAGAATCGGTGGTCAGGGGCCGCCAGGTGTTGGCTAGAACAAACAGTTCTAGCTTTTTCAAACAGGCACATTGGGGGAAGGGGGACACTGGGACCATCTTAGGGATGTATCTTGAGGTGTTAGAAAATTTTTTTAATGTTTAAGCTTTTTAGTGGTGGGAGAAGGGGGTGGACAATATCATTTGTGCTGAGAATCTACATGTTTTATTTTTATTTTTTTAAAGATTTTATTTATTTATTTGACAGAGAGAGACAGTGAGAGAGGGAACACAAGCAGGGGGAGTGGGAGAGGGAGAAACAGGCTCCCTGCTGAGCAAGGAGCCCGATGTGGGACTCGATCCCAGGACCCTGGGATCACGACCCGGGCCTAAGGCAGCTATTTAACCGACTGAGCCACCCAGGCATCCCAGAGAATCTACATGTTTTAATAGACCCAAGAGGAAGACTCAGAGGAGGCACCTGGCTGGCTCAGTCAGAAGAACGTGCGACTCGAGGAGAACATCTAGAGTTTGGTCAGAATTTTTGTCAGAACAATGCCTTACTTTAGGTCTTCTACTTTAGTTAGGAAACCAAGGCACAGATAGATTAAATAATTTGTGCAAAGCAATAGAACTAGTCAGTAACAGCTGTTATTCAAAAGGAAGTTTTTCAGGATCTAGAGTCTATGCCAGAGGCAGAGAAGGAATTGGAAGATTGTACAAGTCAAGATCCACTGGGGTAGAAGAGATGCCATTCTATAAATGTACATTCACTGAAAAACTATTGAGTTTCACCTCTTAGGTTCAATGTCAATTCCAGAGCAATTCCTAGCATATCACTATATTTGACTTTAACATACTGTTTTATTCCTTGGTGACCTAACTTTGGTAAAGATTTGTGTCTCCCCTTAAATGCCTTTAATTTTTCTTTTGGTTAATTTCTTTAGGACTTAATTAGGTTGGAAAGCTTCTTTTAAAATCATTAATCTCATGTCTGTATCAGAATATAACAATTTAAACTTAAAAAACTGAGAGTTTAACACTGAGTATACATTTTTATCTAAAGAGAAACCTAAAATGATAAGGACTTCACCAGGAAACAATTCACTGCATGAAATTCCACTGAAGAGGTAACATCATTAAAATTGGAAGACATTTAATAATTCTACCTCAAATGGTTCTTAATCCTTGGTGTTTAATTTAGCTTTGTAGAGGGTGTCCAATCCTATGTAATAGCTTCTAAAAAGTTAGTACTTTGCTCTACCAAACACATTATTAATTCCTCATCGGCTTCATTGAATCCTTGTTCTGTTGGTTAATATTCCCATTGTAGGTTTCCATTAGCAGAAACTCAAGGATAAACTGGACTTGACCATAATTTCAATACAACTGTAGGAAAAAATATAGCTCATAAATGGGCTATCCAGAGAAATTTTCCTTGAGAAAATTACTATTTTATCGGAGAAAATAAATGACTTATAAAAGTTGCAGTTTCTCTTTTAAGCAAAAAAGGGTTAATCTATAACAGTGGGAAAATAACCATGAAAAATTCATACAGTCAAGAAAAATGTATTCAGGGCCAGCCTTCAAGCTGGGTTTATAGAGATTAAAAAGCTGTCGTTCCTGTCCACAAAAAATTACAGTATTTAGGTTCTATAGTTGCCTTTTGAATTCTTGAATTATTGGTGTTATTTGAGACCCCCTAGGTGTCCCCAGACTGTGGACAGGAATGGTAGTCATCATCCTAACATGAAACACTGTCATTTCACTGGTCTTACTCTTAGCTGGTGACACAGGACCCTCAGCCTTTTGTAAACTCCCCTCCCAAATATTTCTGGGGAGCCCCAGAGGTGTCTTCTACATGTTGACAAACAAGACCATTTCTTTTGGATGCTGCCGGTTGCCTCCCGTTGGAGCCACTGTTGAGCTGCTATTTGTGGTCTGTGCATCTGAGCTGCATGGCTATTTGTGGCAAAGCTGGGGAGAATGCCTACCCCCATTGTGTTTCCCTCTGTGAGGTTCAGGAGGTTCATTTCAGATAATGGGTCAGACAAGACGTCCTGAAAGACTCTTACAAACCCCAAGAATGCTAGCTAGAATATAAAAGCAGAAACACAGCCTTTAAAATAAGTGGATGAGTTGGTCAGAAGGAAAAGAATCGCCGAGTCCTGGCAACAGCCAAGAGAATCCACAGAAGAAGCAGTGAAGTCATTATAGCCATCTCAGGGATGAGTTTAGATTTCAGGGCAGGTGATAGAGGTGCGGCGTGATGGAGAGGCTGGGTCAAGGCCTCAGACTTGTGAGGAGAGGGGAGCTGGAGCACTGATCAACCTACAGAAAATTAGGATCCATAATGAGCAACCCTATTAGGAGATAAAATCTCCTAAAACAGAGCCAGACAGCAAATAAACTTGTCTGCTCAGCTTGGAATCTGAGTGGCTCTAGAAGTCTCCTTTGAGAATTTGTGGCCACAGCCTGCCTGAATTTACAGTATTTGTAACATCTGAAATAATTTAGAGTCTTAATTTAAAGGAGATCCAAGTCTCACGGGTGCCTTGCAAAAATGAAGGCAAGTCTTTCCAGGGGAAGGCACCATCCAAGCCAGAACTCCAAAACTGCTCCCAGAATGGATTCCAATTCACAATGACACACACACAGAGTGCATAAAGAAACAAGTCACCATGAGCAAGAGTCAGCAGGAAATTAAAAAAAATTAGATATTAGCAATATCAGGTAGGGAAACAAATTATGTTTGATATATTTCTAAAAGTAGGAATGGGAACATAAGAAGTAACACACTCACCCTACACAGGTGAAAAGCTAAGTTTTTTTTTTTCCATTTTAGCATCAGTACATATATAGTAGTGCACTCTGTCCTGGTGGAGCTTACATTTTAGTGAATGGGGACAGACAATACAAAAATAGAACAAAACATACATTATATAGCATTGTGGGTGATAAGTGTTATGGAAAAAAAAAAAAAACAACCCAGAAGGTAAGGGGGATCTGGAGATCTGGAGTTCAGGGAAGGTGGTTACAAATTTAAAAACAAGCAGTCAGGGTAGGCTTCCGGAGAGAAGGTGACATATGAACAAAAACTTGGAAATGAGGGAGAGAGAGAGAGACAAATATTTGGTAGAAAGCCTCCCAAACAGAAGGAACAACTTTTGCAAAGTCCCTGAAGTGAAGTGTGCTTGTTGTGTTAGGGCCAAGGGTGAGGAGCAGGAGTGAGGTGAGAGAGTAAGGGGAGTAGGCAGGTGATATTGGGCAGGCTTTGAGCATTTAACTTTGAAAGAAATGGGATCCCTAGGCTTCCCAGCTGAGGCTTTTAATTGCATTACTGCCTAATGCATCTTAATGGATATTATGCAATGTAATTCCTGCAAGAAATCTTCAGTATTTGTGTTTCTTTTGAGTGTGACACAGTGCTAATTTCTTGTACACTGTATATTCATTAGGGTTACGATAGACTCTGCTTGCAAGTATAGGGTTTTCCACATAGAGGCATTTGTTAAATGAATAAATGAACAAATGAGGCTGGCATTTTAACTACCTCCCAGTAGGTCCTCAATGTATTATTTCAAGTTTATTGCCTCCATACCCTTTTCCTACTGGGTTATATTCAGCTGCCTGTTCTTTCAACTATGTATTTTTCTGCCTGTCTTTGCTGACCCCATTCCCCCTTACTTGAGATACTCTCCCCAAACCTCGATTTGATTCAAATTCTACTTAATGTTAAAGACCAAGGACAAGCTCCACTCCTCTTGATTCTGTTAACTTTGTTGCCTTTTCTGAGCTCCTATAGCATCATTCCTCTGACACCTTTCATTGACTTTATCTATTGAGTTGCATAATTTTGGTGTTTATTTAAAAACCACTGTTTGCACTCTCTTTGTATTTGGCTACAGATATACAAATGAAAGCTAGCATCTTGGATACTTTACCATTTTTGTTTTACAGAAGCTGGCTGGATAGGAGGGGTTCAGACTTGTTTATCTCACGCAGATTAATAAACAAGGGGTACCCCGGGACCGGGACCTAAGTCGTACCCCTGACAGGCAATAGTCACTGTACTTCCTACTCCTAAAAGGGTTAATCCAGCATTTCCTTTCCACGCCCAGTTAACCACACCTCCTTCCTGTGAATCAAAAACGACAGTGGCCTGGGAAGTTTGTCCCTTGCGAGATGCCGTAGTGGCCCTGCTTCGGTTGCTCGGCTCCCGGGCGAACATGGCGGCCTCCGAATCAGTGCCGGCTGTGAATCCGGCCACCGCGGAGAGCGAGGAGGAGACGATTCTCTATGACCTGTTGATCAACACCGAGTGGCCCTCGGAGACAGAAGTACAGGTGAACCAGGCCCCTCCAGAGCTGCGGCCAGCTTGGCGCGGGCGCTGTCCGGGCAGAGTCACGTAGCTGGAGCCACGTAGGGTGGTGGAGCTGGGTGGGAGGGGGAGCAGGGCTCCGCCGCTTGTGCTGTCGCCCTGGCAACGGCGCCGCGGATTTGTAAGAGGGGTCTGGGTCCCCTAAAGCGGGAGGTACCCGAGGTCCGTCCTGGGCTCCCGAATTCGGTCGTCCGGGCAGACCCTCGGGCTCTGGGGCACGAACCTTCCCATTCCGGATCTCAGTTTCACTGTCTGTATTTGGAGGGGAGGCACAGCTGCTGCCTGGATTCTCGGTGGTCCTTTCCGGAGGGCGAGGCAAGAGCTGACCAGGGCTGATCCTCATCTGCAGCGGGAGAACTTTCCAGGACCCTACAGTCGCCTCAGCATCTGGAGGGCCGCCGCGGAGTGCGGCATCAAACCTTTACCCCTCCTTGGTGCTGAATTGCACCCATTCCTGTGTATTTCAGTAAACAAGCATTTAATATGCCAGTGTGTCGGTCTGTGTCCCAGATAAGTACGTGTGTGTCCGTCCACGTCCCAGATACTGTGTCGGGCGGTGGGCATAGAAAGGTGAATAACTTTTGTAGTATCTGCAGTCTAGATGGCAGACCATCCAGTAAACCTTTTTCGTCACTTAGTATAATTGCGCTGTGATAGTGGTATGAACAAAATGCCCCGACAGGGATGAGTGAGGAGCTGCTGACCTGGGGTTGGGTTCCTTGCTGAAGAAGGGGTTCAGGGGGTTGGTAACCTTAAGTGGACCTTAGGGTTTTCAGTCGTTGGGTAGAGAGGGGCCTCCCAGCACAAGGTGAACAGTAGGAACCAGGAACCCACATTCGTTCAACATGTTTACTGAGTGCCTGTCATTGTTTTAGACTGCGAGGATGCAACAAGATTCAAAAGGACTTTTATTAAAGATCAGGGAGTCCTGACATACGAGTTCTTTTTTACATCTTTCCCGTTTCTTTACTGGAGAAACTGCTCATTCTCCTATCTATAAAGTTGGTAGTTTTTCTTTAACCTCCTTTCCATTGCAGTTTTTGCTTGTCTTGAATTCTTGAATAATGTATTCTTTCAGGCTGTACATCTTGTTTTTCAAGTATATACTTAGTTTCTTGTTTGTCTGAACAGTGTGAATATTGTAGGGTATGTAGCTAGGAGGCTGTGGCTGCTGCTCTTGGTCAGAAAAGTTTGCATATTCACTCCTTAGCACTGGTTAATTACAGGAATGTTTCAGAATGCTTAACATTATAAATTGATTAAAAAAAGTACAGCGTCAACTTACATTGAAACCTCATGGCACTTTTTTTGTTTTGGTTTTGGTTCTATTGATTTCACCTGCCCAACTTCAAGCTCTTGGAGGGCGATTACATCGGATTCATCTTTATAACCCTCCCCAGGACCGAATTGTGTATTACTGATCAGTGGATAATCAATTCATGTTTGTGGAATGAAATACCTTTTCTGTGCTTTTAAGCTGTATCCGTCTGCACTTACTGTATGTCCATGTTCCTCTCTTAACAGCACATTAGTACATCTTATTATTTGTAGTGCCTGCTATTGTTTAGCTTATTGTTTAGTCTATGCTTAGGAACTATTTAATGTAGCAGTTGTATATCAGCGTGCGTGTTAGTAGCATTTTCTCTGTGGATATACAACAAATACTCAAATTTGCCTCCAGGTACGAGTTTATTAATCCATACGAGCACTTTTCCTGCAAGCAAAAATTATTTTAGGCCTTTCTAACCCACCCAAGTAGACTGCTGAACTGGCAACCAAGATGGTCTTTTCCCTTGACTTCTTCTGTCTCTGGACTGGTGTTTCGACATTTGGTGTTTGAGTTTCCAGCTTCAATCCTTGTCCTGTGTCCTGATGAATGCCTGTAACTCTACCATGCTTACTTTTGCTTTCACTGTTTTCAGTCCTGCTTCTACTTCTTTTGTTTCTAAATAGCGATTTGTAAATACTGGTAACTTGTACCCTGCACTGAGTATTAGCAAAGAAATGTAACTTTACATATTGTATAAGTACTAGTAGAAAATTCTCAAATGTAATATTCTTTTTTCCCATTGCAGTCTAGAGGCAACCGAAAACATGGTGCATCCTTTATCGTCACAAAAGTGATTAGAGGTAAGTATAGCTTATTTTTCTTTATACAATGATATAGTTAGATAATTTTTTCATTTCATTTATAACTTCGCTGTTTTTGAAACTTTAGGAATTTTATTTATTTATTTTTAAAAAGAGTTTTATTTATTTCTTTGTCAGAGCACAAGAGGGGGGAGCAGCAGGCAGAGGGAGAAGCAGGCTTCCCGCTGAGCAAGGAGCCTGATGTGGGACTAGATCCCAGGACACTGGGATCATGACCTCAGCTGAAGGCAGATGCTTAACTGACTGAGCCACCCAGGTGTCCCCAAAACTTGAGCAATTTTAAAATGTTCTTTAGACTTATAGAGCCTGATAAAAATGAATAGCATACATTTTATCCGATTTTAATTTTATATATGTGTGTATTTTAATTTTAAGTGGTTTACGTGATGTTTCAGCGACATCTGGTCAGAGTTATTCAGATTAAAAATTTGATTAACCAGAGCATTCATGTAACTCCTGACAAAGTTTGCATATGAGCTCACAGTATCTGAGAAAATCTTGAGCACTGGCTGTATTACGTTGCTGCTGTGAGAACTTTATTTATATTTATTGATCTAATCCTTTATTAGACCAGCAAGGTAGGTGCTGTTATGACTTCATGTTTTTAGATGAGGAAACTTGTCCAAGGTCAGTCATTTGGAATTTGACTACATGTCTTTCTGGCTCCAGAGCTCATCCTTGTAATAACTGGTGAATTTGAGCTACTTCTAAAAAGAAGATTCGGTTTCAAAGGAGTTAAGTGCTTGAAATTAACTATAATTTTATCTTCTCTTATAAGCACTAGAATATTCAATTTTCATTGTGACATATATTTTAAAATTTTGATAACTTAGAAAATATACACAAGTAATAAAATTCATTTAGAGAAATTCAGAGAATATGGATAACTATAAATTCGAATGAACAATTTTCTCATTTTACCACCTGGAGAAAATCTGTTACCCTTCAGACTTTTTTTCATTGATCTACACCTACATGTTCACACTCCCATACACATTTTAAATGAGATTATATAAAGCGTCATTTGTCAATAGTGTAGTTAATCTTAAAAGTAAAACTGTCAGTTATTCTACCAGCAAAAGAGGGTTATTCAGGAATAACAGAATTGCAATTCAGAACAAGCAAGTTACAGTAAAACTATAGCCAAGTATAACAAACAGAGGAGAAGAACATTATTTTCTGGAGGAGGAAGTTGGGAGGGGTTGTTCTGAATGAAAGCCCATTGAAGTAAAGCATTCAGGTGATGATGGTTTCTTACCGCCTGAGTTGCAGGGGGAGTCCATTTCTTGTAGGCAGTCTGATGGTACATTGGTACATCTCTTCCTTCTTGGGCCCTATAACTGATGATACTTTCCTGTTGATGATTCTTCTGTTGAGGCCTGACACTTCCTCCTATAATTGATGTTGAGTGTACTGCTCCCCCTTCTAGCCTCCCGACTCTACTTAAGTGAGGTGTCCCTTTATTTTCAGTGTGTTAGAGATTTTGTTTTCCCTGGACTTGTGCATTTTAGGTTTTTTTTTTTTTTTTAAACCTTTGCTATAAAGTACAAAATAATATCTTAATTTTTATACAAATATTTTGGTTTTAAAGGGTGACTTCTACTCCTTGGTTTTATTGAAGTCTTTGGTGAAATTTAACATTTCAAACCACATTTCCCACATCTCAAACCACATTTCTCACATTTCCTTTTTGTACTGTTAGGAAATACTTCAAATGTTTGAGTAATACAAACTTGGGACTTAACATACACAAATGTATGATCTTATAAAAGTTATAGTGTATATTAGATTATATACCTTTAAGAATTTTGTTCTCCATATTTTGTAATGATTCAGTCTGCAGTATATTTTAGATTTATCGTCAGTGAAACTAATTGAAAGCGATTCCTAAAGATTAGCTGATTCATATTTGGTTTTGCTATTTTTTATTACAGATCGTTTATTATTTTTACGCCAATACATCTGGTACAGGTAAGTGTCCTTCAGAGAACAGTATGAACGTCAAATGCAAATATTATCCTATTTAGGACTTAAGTTTTCAGAATTCAGTCCCAGATTGTGGTACAGATGCTGACATTCAGGTGAATGAAGTAGACCTTTTCAAACAGTTGATATACTGACAAGGTATCTCAGTCTACTAAGGGTAATTTTCGTCCTTTAGTCATTATTCAGAATATCTCGGGATGACTTCTGCTTTCTCTGATGAGTGTTCTCAGCCTTATCTTGAATGCCCACATGCTTGGGGAGCTTTTTAAAAACAATTTTGTCATAAGAATAAAAAAATTAAATTAAAAAAAAAATGTTTTGAACTGGGAATGCCTGGGTGGCTCAGTTGGTTAAGCATCTGCCTTGGGCTGAGTCATAATTCCAGGGTCCTGGGATCGAGTTTCATGATGGGCTCCTTGCTCAGCGGGGAGCCTGCTTCTCCCTCTGCCTGCCGCTCCCCCTGCTTGTGCTCTCTTTCTCTGATAAATAAAATCTTTAAAAAGTAAAAAAAAAAAAATAAATAAAAACAATTTTGTTCTTATTGTATCAACAATTCTTGAAGTCAATATTCAGTTGCTGTGTATCAAGGAAGGTCCTTTAGGTTTCAGTTCTTGCGTACTTTTTAATTCTTTTCAGTGTTAAGTCTTTTTAGGCATGGTGTAAGTGTTCAGGCTTAAAAGGAACAGAGAAATGATCGTTCTGACAAATGATATAGTTCTGCTTTTAGACGGGTGTATAGGAATTGTTTTATAGATTTATTTAACACAGATTGTTTTTTCCTTAAGGACATCTAATCTTAAAAGCTCCGGAGATAATAGGGTTTTATAAAAGAGACCTTTGACTCTTCTCTAGGATTAGCTCTGAATTTTTTCTGCTGTGTGTGTGTGTGTGTGTGTGTATAGATTTAATTTCTTATTTAATTTTATCTTGTTTTTTTGGGGTGTGTGTTCAGTATGATAGGGTAAAGAGATGAGAGCTGAGGGAGGGGTAGGGACGGGGAGGAGTATTTAAGAGGTAGGCTGTTTTTCCTGAGCTCACTGGGTGATCTAGCTTGATAGTCCTAAACATCTTAGGGAAGTGTGGGCAGAAAATATGTCAGTATAGGTCAGTGCCATGAAGTGATTATTTAATCTTCCGATATGTTACTTTCATAGGTAACATAAAGTTAACTGAAAAAAGTTCAGTTTTTGCTCTTGAGTTTATAGTAATTAAACTTAAAGGTTTTGGGGCAATATTTGTTTCAGGTAGCTTTTTCTTTTTCTTTTAATTATGAAGTATTATAAACAGACTGAGAATTATAGACCTTTTAAGTCCGAACAAGTTTATTATGGTATTATCTGCATGTGAATTAGGCAGTTGTTGCTGTTTGGTTCAGATAGGCTTCTCTCTCTTTTTATGCAAAATGTTACAACTCCTTGCCCCCCCACCTCCCTTCCCCACCAGAGGAAATTATCATCCTCAGTTGATGGTATTGTTCACATGCATGTTTCATATCTTTGTTATAATATTTCTGTAGCTACCATGGTATAAAATATTTTGTGTTTTAGAAATGAACATAAATATGCTGAATGTATATTACTGATACTTTTATCCTACTTTTTTGTTTTCTAATTTCCATGGTGTTTTTTTTCCTCTTGTTTTTTTTTTCCCCCACCAGCTTGTTTTCTTTATTTTTCTTTTCCATCTATTTTCTTTTCTTTTTTTTTTTTTTAAAGATTTTATTTATTTATTTGACAGAGAGAGAGATAGGGACAGCAGGAACACAAGCAGGCGGAGTGGGAGAGGGAGAGCTGGCTTCCTGCTGAGTAGGGAGCCCGACTTGATCCCAGGATCCTGGGATCATGACCTGAGCCGAAGGCAGACGCTTAACGACTGAGCCACCCAGGCGCCCCTTCCATCTATTTTCTTGATTTCCTCCTGCCCTGCGTTACTCCCGATTTGTTGTATCTGTTCGTACACTGCCGGTGAATCCTTTCCTCCTGTCTTTGGTGAATGATGTTATTGTGAGCTTGTGCTTGGCGATTCTTGCACCACTTGAGTGAAGTGAAATTGCAGTCTGATCTTGCATGTAGTAAAGGTTTGGGATTTTTCTTTCTCATAGGGGATTTCATTCCCATCCTCCCACAGACCGAATTCCAGACTTAGATGACATTCCTGAACAATGCTCGCCACACCTCCCCCCATGGCGAGGTTTGTCTAGTCCTTCCTCCTTTCACTGAGTGCAGTCATGTCAAGGGGTCAAGGGAGGTGCTGGCCTTGCTGGAGTCCCCCTTTCAGCTTCTGTTCTTTCTGTGCCCTGCAGCTCCTTTCCTGTCCCAGGTGTTACCTCCTGTTTTGAGTTCTTGTACCTGTACCCAATTCGAACTTTAAGTTCCCCTTTCATTTCTAGCATCTGAAGATTTCTTTCATTCTTGTGAGTTTAGCTGTATACCAGAATTTGTTAGACATGAGTCAGAATTTCTTTTTTTTTTTTTTAAGATTTTATTTATTTATTTGAGAGAGAGAGAGAGAGAGAGCACATGAGAGGGGGAGGGTCAGAGGGAGAAGCAGACTCCCCGCTGAGCAGGGAGCCCGATGCGGGACTCGATCCTGGGACTCCAGGATCATGACCTGAGCTGAAGGCAGTCGCTCAACCAACTGAGCCACCCAGGTGCCCGAGTCAGAATTTCTAGGTGTGTGTAACAGGAAGGGTTTCTTGCAGGCTCATTCTGCTATGGTACTGGTATCTTCGATATCTTTTCCTTAGGAAGGACATAAAATTTATGTTTTGAACATACCACCATGTTTTTCTGGAAAAAGAGATATGTATGTGGTCAAATTTCAGATAACTAATTAGTAACTCTTAGTTTTGGGTTTACCAATATTCAAATCTTATATTCGAATGGAAAAAAAATCTTATCTTGCTATAGCTCTATATGCTATTTATAATATTTATTTACTTATGTGTGTCTTTCATGATTAGATTTTAAGTTAGCTAATGTGTTGTTTCAGCCCTGTGCCTTTTTTGCTCCCTGATGGACTGGTTCGCTTGGTTAATAAACAGATAAACTGGCATTTGGTACTTGCAAGGTAAGGTGTTAAAAATTTATGTGTTTCTCTACTGGGATTAGCACTTAGGTTTCATTATGGATATTAATTTTGGGGACTTTTGGCTTGCAGTCTTGATTTTATTTTTATTTTACTGTATGTGAATTCACTTTGTCACATATGATTGGTATCTTTTAAATGTATTAATCATTTTTGTGTACACTTCGGTACCTTTATACTCCTTTAGTTTTAAGGTCAAAAGTTGGATAATTGAAGATGCGAAAGCATTTAAAAATGATTTTTAACGTCTTAGAGTCATTCCATCTTTGTTGAAGACCGCTGCAAATATTCACATAGAATTTTTTTCTCTCTCTCGGCCGTGAAAGCAATGGAAAACTTTTGGCTGCTGTTCAAGATCAGTGTGTGGAGATCAGGTAATTGTTAATATTATTCATATTTAAAACTTCCCTTGAGAGAGATCAGGTAATTGTTAATATTATTCATATTTAAAATTTCCCTTGAGAAAATTTTACTTGATTTAGGGGAACTAAGATTTTTGAAGGGGCATATTTAAAGGGATTTTACCATTAACTCGCATAATTTTGTGAGGTGTCAAACACCACTTACGCCAATTACAGGACGAAAGATACTTTGTTAGAGTAGCAGGGCCTACTTCCCCACATCAGTCTGCTGTCACCTGTGAAATTTTACTTTCTCAGGAGACCAGGCATATCTTCAGAACTCTAGAAGTCACTCTTGTTTGACTGGTTACTGCTAAGTCAACTGAAGCAGATACTCAAGAAGGTATTGAAGTAGGGACTACTTTGCTCTGTTGGCATAAAGCTGTAGATGGAATATGAGTCTGTGAAAGACAAGGATTACGTATTACTTGAGACCAGTGATATTCTGTCATCTTGAGACATTCAGTGGTATTCTATACACATCTAGAAGGCTTCTCTAAGCTGGGCTTTCCATGTACTTTATTTTTTTAAATTTTATTTATTTTTTTTTAAAGATTTTTTTATTAGAGAAAAGGCAAGGGTGGGGGGAGGAAAAGGGGAAGGGGAGGGAGAAGCAGGCTCCCCGCTGAGCAGGGAGCCTTAGGCAGGGCTGAATCCCAGGATCCTGAGATCATGACCTGAGCTGAAGTCAGATGCTTAACCAACTGAGCCACCCAGGTGCCCTTCCATGTATTTTATTTTTAAGTAATAGATCAGTGTGAAAGAAATAGCAACAATAGCAACTAACTCAGGAAAACTAGTTAATTTTGGGGGGGGGGCGAAATTACCAATAGCAGACAAAATGTGTTGCGTTTCTAAAATTAGAGGCTACTTCTTCAGGCAAGGTGTAGCTCTTGGTTTTTTAAAAAATAAGCAATGAGACTGAAATTTCAGGATGCCTAGATACCAGTCAAAACTTTCTTCTGATACTTTATTATTCTTGACTAAGCATAGTATAATGAGCATTCAGTTGTTATCACACTGGTTTTAGCTTTTTGTTTTTGTAATTTCTTTTTCTAGTTATCCAAACAGATCTGGACCCCTCAACTTGTGGGGGAGTAGACAGAGGGTTTGTCTGCATTGGGGCATCAACTTCAGAAGTGGAGGCTTTGTTTCATGATCCCTCTTACAATCATCAGGATGGAGATGATTGACAATAATGACAGCCTTTCCAAACTACATTACTTAATTTGGCACGCTTTGATAGGCAGGTCCCTCTTTTTTAACACAGCATCAGTAAGCATCAGGCTGACACAATTTTTGAACTTCCATTGTTCATAGGAATGGGCAAGTACTTGCTATTCTGTTTGTTGCAGTAATGTGAACTGTATCTTTTTGAGAAATGTGCTTATGGTGTGACTTTACAAATAACCGTTAATTGTCAAAATTTCCGTCTTCCATGAAATGAGAACATCAGTGGAATGATTTTAGGTGTTAGGGTCAGAATGTGCATGTGGGGATGGAATTGATACTTAGGCCAGTGAAGAAGAGTTTGACCATGGGTTTCTGGAATTCGTTAATAAAATTTTTGATGAGAAGAACAAAAAAAAATTGCTTTTATAAAAGGATTTGCTACTGGATTGTTAGAATGTAAAATATTTATAAAACTTGTACATATATCCAACTCCAGGAATTCACTCATGTATTTGAGACTAAGTGGTGAGGGAAGATTTCTAGGCAACGGAAGTGATGCTCATCAAGATCTTATTCATCTAGTGTGTAATTTGCAAAAGCTTTTGATAACATTATTATATCTAAGGAGTTTTACATGGTGAGGCGTGAATTCCACTAGCAAGCTTTTCAGAAACACACTCCCTATGGACCCACCCCTCCCCCTCAATGGTTAGGTACCAATCCTTTATGCTCCTGAAATCAACACTATTATACTTAACGATAGGCTGATGCTAATGGTGTTGGGCATTCTCTTGTAAGTGCTTTGCATGTGTTAATTCATTTAATCTTTGCAGAAGCCCTGTGAGGTAGGCATTGCTATTTTTCTCCATTTTAAAAATAAGGAAGCTGGCACAATATGGCTAAATTACTTGCTTGAGGATTTGAAATCTACCATTCTGGCTTCAGTGTTCCTGCTTTTAACCCCTAATCTATACTACCTTTTGATCATGTTGTTTAGCCATATATGCTTGTATGCTTACATGTGGGTTTCCCCTGGTATAGTTAGGGCCACTGCTTTGCACAACTCCAGGGTTGTCATTTACTTAAAATTCCTTGTGAGTGGGATCTGGTGTCTGCAAGTCCAGTTACACTGTGTGTTCCTTGGAAGCGGGCCCTGTCCTTTTTTCCTAGCAGTTTATTGAAGATTTTATTTTAGAGAGAGCTAGAGAGAGAGAGAGAGTGAGCATGCACGAGCAGGGGGAGGGGCAGAGGGAGAGGAAGAGAGAGAATCTCCAGCAGACTCCCCACTGAGCTTGGAGCCCAGTGCAGGGCTTGATCCCAGGACCCTGAGATCATGACCTGAGCCGAAATCAGGAGTCAGATGCTTAATCGACTGAGCCACCCAGGCGCTCCTCCCTAGGAGTTTATATTTCCTTGAACATAATAGATGCCTGGTTAGTGTTTGATGAATAAGTAAGGTGTTTGTAAGTGGGATAGAAGAACCAGAGGCTGGGAGGACATTACAGGGCATAGTCCACTGACTTGCTCAGAGTTGGCAGTCAGTTCCTCTTGCTGAATTGATAGATACACTTCGTAGTAATCTGAAAGGAAGAGTGTTTGAGCAAAGATGTGGAATGATTAGCAAAGAAAAAGGGCAGGGTAAATCCTCAAAGTAAACCTGATGCACCGTGGCTGTGCCTGAGTTTAAGATCTTTGTTTTCACTATTCCACGTTTGTTTTTTGTGCTGTGGTGAAGAACACATACAAGGCAAGATTGCTCAGTAGTGCTAGTAGTGGGTACCTGGTATTCGGTCAGTATTTGTTGATTGTATTACAATATGAAAGATTGCTCTAGTGTTCAGGGTCATTTTTCGATATTTGGAAGCAGTCATAAATAGGAAATGTTTTTGAGGAGAGAAAATGCAAAGCTGAAACACGTGTTAGTTGTAGTTCAGAGAGAGCCCTGCCTTTTGCAAGATCATACCAGGGCTGCTGGGCCCCAATGTGTTTGTAGTGGGTGGCAGGTGACTCCGGTCCTTTGCTCTGATACGGCATCCCTAACCTGCTTGTGTGTGGAGCTCACATGGATAAAAAGCGACTTCTTGTGAATTGCTACTTTAATTTGTAATTTGGCAGTAATTACATATTATAAGTGCTAATATGTGTTTCCTTTTTTCCTAAATAGTGAAGTAACAGTTTCTTATTATGGGCTGTTATAAATACAGGGACTAATTAGGAACCATCACAGAACACAACAAAAAGCATTAAAATAAGGGACTCATAAAAAAAGGCACTCTCCCCCAAATTTGCTTAAGTGAATATATTTATGAAGTTTTGACAGAACCAAATTTATGTCTCTCTCCCTCCATTTCCCCAGCAGAAGAGCAACTATTATTTGTGATGATACTAAGGATGTAAGTAATAAACACTGACTTAAGTCTAGTTGGTGCTAATTTATATGTATTTATATGAGTCTTCTTTAATCTTTCCCTAAGCTATGAAGTTGCTATTACCCATTCTATTTTACTGAGAGGAAATAAAACTCCTATTGAATATTTTGTCCAGGTTACCCAGATGAGCTGAAATCAGGTCAGCCTCACTTCAAAGACCATGTTCTTTCCACTGTATTCTACTTGGAGGCTGAATAGTCAATTTCTTGAAGAAAGTTATTACCATATTTATAATTGGCTTTTGTCTGTCATATTCTTTTTTATTTTTATTATTTTATTCTTTTTTATTTATTTATTTTTTTGCAGAACGTGCCCTCTTTAATACCCATCACCAGGCTAA